GCCCCTCATTTGTTGTGCTCTTCTTTTTTTTTTTTTTTTTTTGCCCAACCAATTCAATTACCTGTCAAATCTGGACAGGACGGCCTTTCAGGCCTTTTTTATTGTCATTATTGTCATCATAGTATTACGGGGAACCCCTTAGCAGCCACATCCGTGCTCAAGCCTCCAACGAGGGAACATGCGGGAGCTGCACCCACCAGCAGGTGGGATACTTGCTACAGCAGGTGGGCGATACCGGCCAGGGGTCAGCCGGTAGCATCAGGACCGAGCTTCTTCGATGGGCCAGTCACTGTGCCTCCCCTCCGGTCCCCTCCCCCTATGAACCCTCTCAGCCTACGGTTGTGTAGAAAAAAAAAGAAAAAAGAAAAAAAAAATAAGAAAAAAAAAAGATGTCCGAAGGACCCTGACTCTGCGGTCCATTTGAAGATCAAGAACGTGGAAACACGGGTCCATTTGAAGATCAAGAACATTTGAAGATCAAGAACGTGGAAAGAAGGCAAGCCAAATGCTTGGGTACTGGCGGCAGGGTCTGGCGGAAAAAACGGAACTGCAGTGGCGCGCAGGGTGTGGGTTTCGTGCGTGTGTAATTGTGTGGGAAGGGAAAGGTCCTTTGGAGACAAGAGGGAGTAAGAAATAAGTGACGGCGGGAAGCGTGAGATGCTGGTGTGATCGGTCTATCAGGAAGAAGAGAAGAAGAAGCTGGAATCTCTTTTCGAACTGCTTTGGCACGATCGATGCCATTGATTGATTCGTCTTGCTGGGAATGAGCTGAGCCACCTCGCCTCGTCGGCCTCCTCGTCGGCTTGTTTCGTACTAGATGAAGGTGATTAAGCAGAAGAAGAATCGCCGCCATGTCCGTTTTTTCAAGGCTTGCTTTGGGTTCCACGAACCATTTCGGGTTCTTCTCGATGGCAATTTTGTCCACATGAGCCTGAAGATGAGGGACGCTGTGGGGGGTCTAAAGGAGGCGATCCCGAAGATTCTGGGAGGGCTGGCGAAGCTGATGGTCACAAGATGCATACTGACAGAGCTGCGCAAACTGGGGAAGGATTTTGAAGGAACAGTCCTCGCTGCGCGCCGAATGGAAGTCGCAAGATGCGGACACGTGTCTCCCTTGTCAGCGGTTGATTGCATCAAATCGATGGTGGGGGAGGTGAATCCTGAGCACTTCTTCGTGGCGACTCAAGATGCACAGCTGAGGGGTTGGCTGAGAAGCGTTCCTGGGACAGCACTCATGTTCCTGCTGAAAACTGGGGTCGTGCTTGAGCCGCCGTCTAAATGGCAGCAGGAATATGCGCGGGCTAATGAGATGGAAAGGGCAAGAATGAACATGAGAGAGAAGAAAATTCTGGAAGGGCAGTCGACAAGATTAGCAGTTGGTGGTGGTGTATCATCATCTGAACGGGATCGGGATGGCGCAGAGGCCGCTGGAGTATCGAAGAGGTTGGCGGACGAGTCTGCAGCCACAGGTCAGGCTGACGCTAGCAGTGGTGGCGGCGGAGGAGGCGGAGGCGGAGGCGGAGGCGGAGGGGAAGACGACAGAGCGGAGACGTTGGGTTTAGGGTTAGGCGCAGCAAACGGTGCAGAAGTGAAGGGGGTGGAGAAAGCAGAGGAGCAGGTACAACAGACAGCTAGTCCGCAAGTGAAAAGGAAGAGGAGAAGGCCCAAGGGGCCCAATCCTCTCTCGGTGAAGAAGAAGAAAGTTGTTCCAAAGCTGCCAGCAGCAGCAGCAGCAGGAGCGAAGGGTGGAGGAGAAGGGCAAGCGGACGCAAAAGCAGGAGGGGCAGGCACGAAAACGCGCAAGAGAAGAAGGCGGAGAAAGGCAAAACCAGGCGAAGAGAATGAGAAGTCTTCAGGAGACGCTGTTGAAAGCGGATTGGATGAGAGAGAGAGAGAGACAGAGAGGAAGCGACAGAGGACAATAGAGTGTTAATTAAGGAGGCATTTCACTTTAAGAATTTTTTGCACATCGTGTGTTGTTTCTTCTTCTTCTTCTTCTTCCTCCTCTTCTTCCTCCTCCTCTTCTTCCTCCTCCTCTTCTTCCTCCTCCTCTTCTTCTTCTTCTTCTTTAAACATTGTGTGTGTTTCCTTGAGTTGTAGGAAAAGCGACAGACGGGAAGGGAATGCCCTTTTTGTTTTTTTGTTTTTTGACAGCAAACACTCTCTGAGAGTACTAGGGGTGGTGATAGGAGCAGACACCTCGAGTACTGTCAGGGAGGCTCCAATGCTAAGGTGCTTGAAAACATATCTTCAATTATTGAACGAGGGTGGGAGTGTTGTTACTCTGTTGGTTCTGGACGACTGAGGAGGCGGAGTGGTTGGTAAAAGAAGGGGCAGGAAGGA